TAGTACTTGAATGGGTGACCGTCTGGGAACACCATGTGTCGTTGGCATCAAACCTTTTTTTTGCATTTTTTTTTCTTTTTTTTTGCATTTTTTCATCGATTTTTTCCCCATTTTTACACCTTTTTCGTTAAATTACAGAAATATTTAAACAATTTCCTTTATTTTATTTTCAAAAAATGTTTGTTTTTTCGTGCAACATACAATCAAATCTATCGGTGTTATTTAAATTGAGATCAAAAAATGACACAAAAAGCTGTTTAAATTATTATTGTTTCACTCGTCTCTTTCAGCTATTCTCCTATTTTCCCAATGAAAAAAGTATTGACAGTGGTTTGATCAAACGGCGTCACTGTATTATCTAACTTTTTATACCGAATGGTCCAATACAACCGAAGCGTGGCAAAATAAATGAATTCGACGAGACTCAACACTGAAATACCCAAAAATAGGCCAAATAAACCTCCGCAAATGGCTATAAAGTCGGTTAAAGTATATGCTTCGACCCTTTTCAGCGTTTCTACTTCATGATCTTGGTAAAATATAGACAAGCGCGACATTCTCATTCTGAAATGTTGAATTTAAGAGAGAATCACAGATATCCAGTAAGACGAATGATTCACATGGATACTCACTGTAAATTTTTCATGCCCAATGTTTTTTCCAAAATTTCCAGATCGTATTTAATGCGATCAACATCAGCATTGGTAGTGTAATCGATACTACTGCATGACGGCAGGCAATTACATTCGGTTCGGAACGAACGTAAGGCACTATCATTCATGCTATTTACAATATCTTCTTGAAATAGTTTACAATCGGCCGCTTCATAGCAACTAATTTTTGCCGCACCACAAATTTTTGTTGACTTATCTCCTGCAAAATTCAAAACAAACTAAAAATCGAAATCAAATAGATTCTGAATGAATACTACTTACTTGGCATCGAAAATTTAACGCATCCACACTCTTGCTTCGTGAAATTGGCCAAACACTCCGCTTTAAAATTATTAGTAAATTATTATTTATATTGGCCAATCAATCCGCTTTATAATTACATTTATACCTTCACAGTTGGATTGGGTGTACATTTTGAAGAATTGCAGCTTCCGTTCATCAGTATAGAAGCATTGCCTTTGATTTGGTGAATAGTGGCGTAGTCCTTCGGATGTTGTTATCAATTTCGGTTTCACCGAAATTCGCGTGTCTTCCAGCAGTCTATGGAACGAAAATCGTGTTAGTGAATGCTTCGAAAACCTTTCAGTGGTGCATGTACTCACGATACTCGGAATGAATTTTTTGAATTTATCAATGTTTCACCGGGCACACTGGAAAATGTTGTAAATTTGCTTTGATGGAAAAAATGTTGATAGAAAATGCAACGTACCTCAAGATTATATTGAAACCAAGACCTCTTTGATGACATATATACTCTAAATCTGCTTTGAATAAACGAATTATTACATTTAAACCGGTTTGATAATCCGAATTAAAAGTTCGAACGGGATATTCGGTTGGGTGGATTCCATTGCCATATCCGTGATCAAAATTCCAATGGGACACAGTTTTATCGTGATTCACAGTTTTCATTCCCGGTGCCATTCTGAAAGAAGGCGATTTTTTCAAAAAGATAAAAAAAGAAAGAAAATAGGGGAAGCGAGAGAGAGAGAGAGAGAGATCGACAAGCGGAAGTAAAAGAGAGGAACTCAATTTTATTTGGTGACAAAAAGTCAACTTCCATTAAAAATACTTACTCTTCTGTGTAAATTTCACGTGAATTTATCGAATTGAATGTGAAACAAAGACCTTTTTCGGTTAAAATTGGAGCAAATAATTCATCACACGGAGTGTTTACTCCCTGCCAAGAACATTTAGTAAATATACTGGATAGATTAGGAGCAATTTGGGTGATAACATCATAAATTCCTTCTCCTGTGAAATAGTCATCGAATTTGTATACGATTTTTAATGACTCACATATGTGTGTCAATGCTTGTAATTGCGTCAACCTGAATTAAATTTTTCATTTCAAACAAACACTACACAATATATGCGGAAAAGTGAAGAAAGTATTGTTGTTGCTTACTGAGCGTCTGTTAGATTTACATCTGCTGTTAGCTTATAATCTCTAAATATTGAAATCAAATCCATTTTATTGCTGTTTGTTTTAGTTTCAGGGCAAATTGTAATTTCTGGAAATGAAACAGCTGAGATAGTAAGATCCTTTTGTGTGAAACTTAGAGATACTGGATTGTCACACCATTTGCTCCAGATAATGCTAATCGACGAAGCACATAGCCAAACTGACAAACTAAATGCTATTAACCACCAAAATCTATCAAAGTTGGAAATTTAAAACGAAAAGAACTCAAGAAGCAATTTATTTTTTTTTAGATATGTCTTTGTTTTCGAAAAAGTTTTTTGTTTTGTTTCTATGAAAAATAAAATCTTGAAATTAAAATATGAAAATCATAAACCTTTCACTCCAATGGCGTTTTTTCTCCGTCAAATATCGCAAACCGTGTATGGAACTGGCCGTACAAAATTCTGTGGAAAATCTTTGAATCATCTGAGAGAGAACAGTGGGATGAAAAATTTATTTTTTTATTGAAAGAATCGTTTGGTGTCTTCATTTATTCAAACCTTGATATTATGTTGAAATCGGTCTTTCAACATTAGTTTTCGTAACATTCTCAACGTAGAAAAAAGATCAGTTGAAATGTGTTTCCTCCTTTAATAAAAAATGTTTTTGTACAGCCGTATGAATAGATATCGTTTTAAGAGAAATATATTTTTCAAATGAAAAGAAATTTTAATTTTCAAGTTCTAGTTCGTGGCATTTATAAAAATCCACCCATTGGCAATATTAATGGATCAATTAATTTCAGCGAAGCGGTCTGCATTTAATTTCTAATTTGATGACTCTTAATGTGTTTTTTTGATTAGATCGAAACATGCCAGCAAGTATAATAATAAAATTTGAATTAAGGTGTAGTGTAGTAGTGTGCGAGGTCAGCAGGGGAGGCAGTTTTCAGAACTTTATCTAGTTTATTAAACTCAAATTTATCTGCAATAGATTCAATTAATTTTAATCTAATTTCTCTTAATTTTCATCATTTTTTGTAAAACAAAGTTTTATTAAAAATTAAAAGAAAACTCGTTATATGGAATTAGAGATTTCATCAAATGACGTTATTTGATATCGTGAATATTGATGTGAATATTTTAATAATGATAATATGAAACAAGTGCAATTAATATGAGGAAGAGAGCTCTGAGGAACTGGAGCAGCACTGTAGAGCAGAGCTCATCCTCAGGGAGGAGCAAAATATTAAAATGTGAGAAAATGATTTCAATTAATAATATCATGATTTAAGAACTTTTTTGCTCTGCAGAGCACTCCTCCTCACATAAATTATTCTAAGAAACAGTCTCTGCAAATTAACGAGCAAAACATCATAACTCGAGCGAATAATTATGGAATTTTATCATGACACAAGCAAATCGTCATGGAATTTCATCATGACACAGAGAGAACTGTCAGTACAATTGCCGCCAGTATTATACGCAAATACTATCATTGAACCCAGTACAACGTTAGCAATATGAACAATAATGAGTTGCACTGCCTTAGAATAAGTTTCTGCTTCAGTACTAAAAGCAACTTATATCAATACAGTGCCTCTCATTACTGTGAATATTGCTAACGTTCTACTGATTCCACTATGATTCTACAATAATAATAATATTGGCGTCAATTATACTCAAAATTCTTTCAGTGCAACAATGGTTGAAAAGTTCCTTAATTCTGTGTATTTATATGACTTTTAGCGTAGAAAAAGTATCAGAAATTGTGTAAACCTATTCTTCTCCAGTTCGACTTAAAAAATGAATTTGTTCATTGCTTTCATTTGTGCTTTCGTGTCAAGTGTGGTGAATTAATGGATTTTTTCTTGGATTATTTCATAATAATAAAATAAATAATTTCTATTATTTAGGTTAATGGTGTAGCAATAAATGACATTGTGGAAAAGTCATTGTCATTGTATAATTTGGAAAATGAATGAAGGTGGTTGACATCAAAGATGTTAAAGAAAGAATTCAAAGAATTGGATTAACGATGGTAAAAGAGGGCTTTAAACATGAACAATTTAAAAAGAGTCAACTGACCACCTGGTTCGGACCACCCAATACATTATATTTGGATGATGTATACAACGAATATGATAAAATGATTACAGATATGAAGGAATTTCTAAATGATGTACGTTATTGTGAAACGCAATACCAAGAGAAGAGCTATGGAGCTGGTAAATTAAAAAAAATGAAAGGATTAATTCGGGAAATTATCTCATTGAATCCAATGGGTCCACCACTTTCAACTAACGCAATTAAAACATACAATGGAACCATTTTTACACCCATTAGAAACGCACCAATACTTCGCTACAGTAACTATTACACGTTTGTAGAATGTGTTGTCGAGAATTATAACATGTATCTGGAAACTCGAGTAGATGGTCATTCTAACATTCAAGAAAAAGCAACCGAAATTGAAGATTCAAGAGCCATGATCGATGAACTATTATATTGAATAATATATTAACATTTGCACAAAAATTGATTCTTACTATCGAAGATCAATAAAAAAAATTAATCTAAAAAATTCCCATTTAAATCCGTTTCTACTTACTTATAATATCCATCGACAATTCTACAGTAAATTTCGCAAAAAATAATAGGAATAAATAATCGGGTCGATTTTAGTTCTGGTTGAAATCTTTATATTGAAATAATATTTTGACAAGATAATTCGTATCAATATGCCTACAAATATTTTCGAATATTTGTTTTTTGAGCAAATATACGTGTTCCAATTCCAAATTTAGTACGTGTGAAACAAATTGACATTATTGGATTGTATCAAGACTATATTGACATGTGTAACTATGTGCAAAGTGTTGACTAGCGTAAAAAAAGTTTTAGAGAGAAATTCAGTAACTCTGACATTTTAAATCTTCAAATTTGAATGTTTATTTATTTTGAAAATTAAATAGATGTAAATTAAACTTTATTACCTTCGGTGTGTGGAAAAGTAAAAATATCTTGCTAATTATTAAAAACAAGATTCTCTAAAACCGTCTTCTACTTTTCAAAATCCTCTTTCGTATTTTTCTATGGTCCCGAGCAAACAAAAAAAGAAATTGTAGACAGACAGCACCTTTTTCTTTCCAAATTCGAACGTGTTTCTTTTCAAATTTTATTTCACTCCTTAAACTTCGAGAAAAGCTGAAATATTTAAACGTAAATCTGTATTTCATTGAACCAAATTCAATTTTTTTATATTTTTGAAATTTATTAATTTGATAATTTCATTGAATTAAATTCAAAAATCAAATACTGTGAAATAAAACGTCTCCAATTTTTTTTCTCATAAAACATTTATTTGATTATATTTGTCAAATATCGTATGTACATTTGCTAATTTTCTAAAAAAAAAATGTAATTTAAAGCATTTGTCTTAAAATCTAAATTGTTCTAAAAAAAAAATTCTTGGATTGACACAGAAGCACTCGCTATCTCTAATTCTCTAACATTTATGCAAAAATATCTCAATAGAAAAATGTTCGAAAAAATATACAATTTACACATGTTTAGATGAATCCAAAATAAAACACACGATCAACGTGTATCACATTGTCCATCAATATAATTCTTAATCACTAAAACAAAAAAAAATATATTTTTTTTATAATTTCTTTTCTCTTTTTATAAAGTGTGTCTAACTAATTGATTAAAATAATAAGAGTTGTGTGTGTGTGTTCTTATTGCAAAATGGAGGTTTTCTCTATCTAGAAATAGGAAATATTAGTTATGTATCTGCCAAATGTGGCAAATCTCTTTTATTTATTATTTGATTTATTTTAATGCGAATAATAAATTGTAAATTGATGACTAAAAATGTTCAATCTCTGACAACTCCCATCGATATCGGAATCAACATTCACCGGGAGAGTGTGTGTGCTCAGAGACATTGGCACTTGTGTGTCTTTTGTGGCTCGCAAAGCGCATTACAAAACTAGTGTTATTGTTCAATGATGAGTGATTGAGAGAGAGAGAGAGACTCTTTATGTCAATTGTGTCGGATCAAAGATCGACCAAAGGAGGAAATTGTATTTATTTTTTAATTAATCAAACGTTATTGAATGGGAATATAAACAAAACCCAACAATCAATACATTTCTTTTATCAACTCAAGGATTCAGTTTTTTTCCACTGTCCATCAGTCAGACTATTTGTTTTTATTGCACGCTGCACTGGTGGCTTTTTCTCGCTTTTTCTATCTCTCTTTTTTCAAAACCGATAACAAACTAAAAAGGTCACTAGTTGAGAGCGATTAACAGGCACCAATGTTTGCTCCTTTTCTTTCTTTCTCTCTCTCATGGCCCCATTTATGATTTATTTTCCCTAACAATTCAAAGCCTCATCAATTGAGACCAATCAGTGTCCATTCACTATTAATTTTTTTCTTCTTCTTCGAATTCAATTTCAGTCTTTTCAGTTACAATTTGGGGGTTTTACCGCAATCGCGATTAATTTTATAATTTTTTGTAATTGTTTACGCTGTGTTTTTGTATATGTGAGTGTGACGTAGTATAAGGAACTCGATTTTAACAACGGTTTGGCAAAAATGGCATCGAAAATAGACATTTAGTTAGAGATTCGCTTTTCTTTTGGACAAATGCAGCGTTCAATGACTGTCTATCATCATGATGTGAAAAAAGCATCACATCATGTGAGTATTTTTTTAGAAGCAGCCATCAAATTGCAAAATCTAAATTTAGACGAAATCACTGCCTTCGTTACTTGTCTTGTACTTTGAATGGAAATAATCGGATCATACGGTTCGAATTACACATTTTCACGCAGAATGGGAGTCAAGAATTTAATTGGGATAAAAATAATCCAATCAAATTCAACGATTCAAAGTCGATGAAGACGAACATTTTTGCTTCAATCGTCAACTTATTTTAGCGTCAAATTTGTGTATGTCTCTCGCAATTAAAGCGAGGTTCATTTTCATTTCATTTTTCAACCATTTTGGAAATGGCATTTTTCATCGAAATTTTTTTTTTTCGATAAAAAACATTTTTCCGAATTTTTTTTATTTTTCAAAAATGATTTTTTTGAAAAAAAAAAAAAAAAAAAAAAAACGAATTTAAATTCGAAACATTAATTTTTGAATTAAAGAAAATTCGTTTTTTCTTATTTTTTTCTCAATTAAATTCTTGTAATTGTTTTCCCATTTGCGTTCTGTGAATTCAAACGTATTTCCTTTAATTACTGTTATGCCCACAAGAAAAGTTTTTGTATTAAATACAATGTTCACTCAAATACAAGTTTCCTTCATTCCGTTACGAATAATTTTATTATAATTAATTTTTTTCGAAATTCTCAAACTCTTGATGTAAAACCAAAAAAAAAAAAAATGTTGCATACATTTTTTTTCTCTCTTTCTCATGTGAACAAACAATTCTCTTTTGGACATGCAAACGTTTTCCTCAAGTAAAATTTATTCGAATCTAGGCGACAATCAATTTTTTTTCTTCTTCGATTCAAGACGATTTACGTATAAAACAAAAATTGATATCGATATAAAACAATTAACAATAGAAAAACTGAATAGACTTTCAAAATAAAAATATATACAAGCTGTGTATGTGTGTGAACCGAATTGTGATATGATGTCATGAAAAAACGTCGAATGCGAAACGTGAAAAAAAGTTAGAACTGATGGGTTGACGCGTACAACCAATTTTTCAATTCTGAATAAGAAATGATGACGTTGTTCATAACATCAATTGACGGCCTAAGAAGAAAACAATAACATACAGAATATTCTGCAAAAAGACGAATACAAATTTATGTGAGCAAAAACCAAATATACAAACAGACAGCGCAAAAGTAAAACAGCCTACTTACGTGTGTTTCTTATGTAAGTAGGCTGTTTTACCTTTGC